CTACATAAAAGTGATTGGCAAAAACGGGACATCCTGTATATAAATGTGGTGTATGTAAATTATTCATCATTAATTTTCATTTGTAGGGAGTTTTGCCAAAGTTGATAGGACATACGTTTGTGGTATTTCTTTTATTGATACACGGACAGTTTATATTAACGCTGATGAACATACCGATGTCAATTTGGTTGTTTTACGAGTACTTTAGTATTCCCAGTGGTAATATGGGAGTTTATGATCCTACAGAGATTCACAATCGCAGCAAGCTGAAGAAATACACGCGTGATTGCATGATTCATCTCGGATATTGCATTATATTCTTTTTCATTTATCTTTATTGGTAAGTATTACATAAATACAATTTATACATAATAAAAGAAATATGGAAGATATGTATTTTTACATAGTAGTAGAGTAAGAAATGGAAAATATTTATTGTTGTTTTACTCTTTAGCATGATTGTGACGTTGCTCAAGGGAGACCCGATCAATAGAAACGACGACATAATAGATTTGTAAACATACAGAAATTAAGACAAAAAAAATCTCTTTTATATATTATATTTATGTTATCTTATATTCTAATATAAAAATTTTTTACTTCCACTATATTTACACGGCACATCACGTTCTTTAAACAATAAGTGTTATTTATGAAGTGTTTTTCCCATTATTTAAGAATCATTTTTATTTAAATATTTAGATGAATACGTATTGCTCTCAAATAACTGCTATCATTTTGGTTCCAATTTATTTCAAGATAACAATTTCTGATAAATATTTTTCACTCGTCTACTTGATGCTTTTGATAATACTTTTGATTTCAAGGCCTATTATTCGCGCTAAGGCCTAATAAAATAAATGGGAAATGTATAGATATCAAATGAATACCAAATTATCACGTCCATTTGCGTATGCGAACAATCTTAAGTTTCTAGTCGTAAACGATGTAAGAGTGAATGTCTGTATCATAGTAGAGATTGCGTGTTTAAGAATAATAATACAATCGTAATATTTTAATATTACATTTCATTATATCTTAATCCGAATACGGGAATGCAACCCATTGAAGTTTCTCCTTTCTCCTTGTTTCCTTCAAATGCGATAATCTGCAACAAATATTTTTTAGGAGGGCCGCGACCTGCGATTTCTCAATCGTTATATCACGATTTTTCTTGTCAACTGTCGTTGAAATGAATCCCAAGTTGGTGATAAGAGACGCTATTGCAGACACAAAGGAAGAGAATACACGGGAACGTGAGACTTCATTGTCGTCACTGTCATTGCCGTTCTATTTCACATGTTTGCCAAGTCAAGTTGACTTAAGTTTAATGGCAGTTGGATGAGATTGGATCGATTTAATGGGTGCGGTGTAGGTGATTAGTCCATCCTCTCTTTATTGTGGAAGGGCACGCTTATTTTTAGATCGAATTCAAAGCGGAATCTACATAGTTGTCGCGTAGGAGTGCGTTCTGTTTCACGCTTGATGTACCATTTTATCCTTGTTGGCCGAATATTAATGAAGAGTAAAATGATCCATCATGCACATCATGCGTGAAACGGAATGCATCCTAACATCCGTTTCTATCAATGTAGATTAACTTTAATCTCGGTTTAACTTAATTTTCGTCTTTTTCTAATTCTTAAAATCAGAAGAAGATAAAAAAAGTTACACAAAAAAGTTATGTTTTTGATTGTAGTGAAATCGACTTAGGAATGAAATCACATGTTCCATCATTGGTTGATTTTATATTCTCTTTCAATAATAGAGCATGCAACATCATTAAATTAATTCAACCCAGTTCGTTTTAAACGCGCTACGATAGAAAATGCTACTAGTTGAACCGAACTTAAAATTAAATTACATTGATAGAAACAGACACAAGACATATACATGTGTGTGTCGCGTGTAGACCTTTTTTTATCTCGTATTTTCCGAAAAATCTAGGACCCTCGGTCGGGCGGAGTCTATCATCCGAGCCGTCGGAAACCCATTTAATTCTCATCGCCATGTCGTTGCGTCGTGCAAATTGCTCGGAACTAATGCAAAATCGATGCGCTACGAGGCCCCGCGCGGCGGGATTCCGGAATTTGCGGAACGGAGAACCGCAAATCGATCCCCGCGCGTATGTATCCGAGGGGATAATAATCGAAGAGGGTCGCGCAACCCCCCGGTGTCGTTAATTCTCGGCACTCTTCGCGCCCTCGTTAACGCTCGTTGGTCAATCTCTTTCACCGCCTTTCTCTCGCGTACACAGCCTTTCGTGCCTTCTCGCCGCAATCACTTTGTGCGAGGAGAGTGGAAGAGAGAGCGATACTATAATGATAATCATGTCCTTTTACGGTGGAAAGATTGAAAAAATTCCAAAAGATGAAAGTGAAGAAAGACATTTCTTTTTTAAATATAGAAACACATATTGTAATTTAAAAAGCAGAGAAAAGAATCGCCAGTCGCTTTTCATACAGTATATGTATATATATATATATATATATATATATATATATATACATACACACACATAGAAACTTGCAGTAATATTATTGCAATATTATTGCAATCCCAAGTAAGAAACATTTCGAAATATTGCAACGTTACAACGTTGTAACAATTGTTGCTGCAATGTTACTAAAATATTCCAAAATTTCTTGCTTACTAGGATATATTGTACATAGAATGTTGCAGTGCTGCTGCAATAATTGCTGAAATGATTAATGCTAGATGAATTTAATTTTGAAGAATTTTTTTTCTCGGAAAGAGAAACAAACTTTTTTTTAATTTCATAATTAAGACTAAAAATCACATTTGGCATATTTTAAAATTAAGAAATTAAGAAATAAAAAATTGATTTGATCAGTTTTCAAGAGAGGCTGAGGGTGACTCTGAGATGAACTCTTGAACTTTACTTTGTCAAATAATATCTATAAAGATCTATTCTTTCCAGCTACTTTTCATCTTTCCTTTTTTGTTCTCTGCTTTGGAAAAAAAAAAGATGAATGCAAGAATCTTGGTTAAAAAGAAGAGATCCTATACATAATTTTGTTAACATAAAATTAATTTTTTGCTGTTTCAAGGAAATTAGAACGCAGACTAGAGTCTAGATCGACTAGATCAGGGACAAAGAATTATACAGCTAAAAATAATCTTTCCAGTAATTCTGCCACTTGAGTTAATCAAATAAATTAATGTTAATCGGACGAAATCGCTGTAATGTAAGCCGCGAGAAATTAATAATGATGAATCTCTTCAACGTCGCGATCAAGGTGATCGTGGATTGTCGCGGCGTGGAAATGAATTTTGAAGCGTGAACGGCGGTCGCGCGGCTGCTTCCCGGTATAGAGCGCCTCCTGGTGTTGACGGTGCGCGGACGGCGCGGTGCTGTCGGTGCTTGTCTTTGGCGTGCGGCGCGATACTCGGCGCGGAAGGAGGATGACGATGCTGCTGCTGCTGCCGCCGCTGCAGCTTCGGAGCGGCCGTGCCGGATCAACGACGAGTAAGCGGGCGGTTGAGCGTGAGACAGCGTGAGAGCAGCGTTGAGACTGTTGAGAGTGCTTGCTACATCCAATCACACGTGCAGAGAGTCGGTGACTAGTCGTGTTTTCAATCATCGTTGTCCCGTCATTCTCTCTTGACGAGTTCTGTCCTGTGTGTGTTGTGTGTACGTGCGTGAGCGTGTGCGTGTGTGTATATGTATGTGCGCGCGCGCGCGCGCGTTCGGTTAAGGACACCCGATTTGTGCTCCGGACAATCATCATCACGGCACGCTCCTCCTCCTCGATGAAATGTCTCCGTGGATGATCTTCGTCCAGTCGCGACGAACCGGCTGAACCCGTGACTCGCGAGTGATTGGGTTCGACGTTCGAGGTCCTTCGCAGACTCCCCGGGGACGCGTCGAGCGCACGTCCTTAAGATATACCTGTGTATTTATACGCGTGAAGTGTGCTCAACACGACGACGACGACGGCGACAGTCGCTCTCGCCTTGGTACCAATAGCGGCGACCAAAACACGGTAATCCAGGTGCTCCTAATGCTTGAAATCTCAATGAGGCTTATGTCGTCGACGTCGTCGCCGTCGGAGTCGTCGTCGTCGTCGTCGTCGTTGAAGCCGTCGCCGCCGTCGTCGTCGTCGAAGCCGTCGCCGTCGGAGTCGTCGTGGTTGCTGTTATTGTCGTCGCCACCACCGTTGGAGTTGGAGTCGGAGTCGTCGCCGTCGTCGTCATCGTCATCGTCATCGTCATCGTCGTCGTCGTCGTCGTCGCCGTCATCGTCATCGTCGTCGTCGCCGTCGCCGTCGCCGTTGCCGTCGCCGTCGTCGCCGTCGCTACCGCTATCGTCATCATCATCCTCGTGGTCAACGTCCGCGTGTTCGCTACCGCCGTTCTCCACGCCGCTTGTCGCTTTGCCACTACGTTCATAAAGAAGATTGGGTGTTGAACAGCGCAAGTTCTGCGGTAACAAGGAGCCAGGATGGCAAGCAATAAGGGTACAGGTGTCACCATGCACATAAAGCCGGTGGAAGTTTCCGAGCAGCTGCAAACTGGAGAGAAGTTTATCAAGTGGGACGAGGTTCGTGTATATTTTTAATGTTACGGCTGGTAGTCGACAGTTTTAATGTCGAGCGCTAGTAAAAGTATAAATGTAAAAGGTCACTTTAGGCATAAAAGAGCGCTTCTTCCTAATTTAGCAACGCCAAAAAAAAAAAAAGGAATTAGAATTCCATGATAATAACTCGTGTCATTTTCTTTTCCCGATACAAATCAACTGAACATGACACTATCGGAAAGTACATTATGCAGCAATTATAGTAAACAGCAATTATAGTAAACGCGGCAAAAATAAATCTTTCATAATATCAAATGCTATGTAATCGTAGGATTCTGGGGTGGCAACGCCGGTGACTTTGAAAGTGGATAAATATGGTTTTTACTTACACTGGGTGGATCAAAATAATGAGATGGATATGCTGGATATAGCAATTATAAGAGATACTCGCACAGGAAAATATGCAAAAGTACCAAAGGTATTAATTTTACTTGTGTTCCTTTTAACAATAACAAATGTTTGCATATGTATCCATTACTGATGTATCGATAAGCAACCACTTTAGTAATATAGTATTGTAAATATTGGTGATAAAGTAAATACTGAATTACGAATGTTCCAAAACGAATAATCAAAGAGAATTCTAATTTTTCCATAATTATATCAATGACGCACAGAGCATCATCACATAATAATTATTGACTAATTTATAAATAGACCATTACCTACTTTATGTGCCATACATAGTTTGCTTTTTTTATCACACCTACTACCACTAGCACCAATGGTAGATAAAGGCAGTTCCGTATTCATTGAAATAACACGCCTAGCTGGATCAGTTTTCCTATAAATCAATAAGCAGAACTTTGAATGAAGTGACATACTTCTGCATGCAGCATTGTGTGCATTTAGTTAGTTCATTGTATAAAACTTTTTGTTTGTTCTCGCTGAGGTGTGTTAGTGGCATTATTAGGAACTTCATTTGTTTATATGTCTTAAGCTTTGTGTGTCAGAGAGGAGATAACAGATAAATTTATAGTCGAATTAAAAATTCTATTCTATAGGATCCAAAGCTGAAATCGCTTGTAACGATGGGTTCTCAAGACTCGTTAGAAGATAAAACTGTAACAATCTGTTACGGCTCCGACTTTGTCAATATGAATTTTATTAATTTTTGCACAACGCGTGCAGAAATAGCACAACATTGGTCAGAACAACTTTTTCAAATGGCGTACAATTTGATTCAATTAAACACTAGTACAACTATGTTCTTATTGAAAGCACATACTAAACTTATACTTACTACTGATAAAAATGAAAAGATACCAGTAAAAAAGTGAGTAATACTATAATGTGCAATTCTAACGTTGTCTGTAAGATTCTTTTATAGGATAAAATCTATATTTGATTTATTTTACAGTATAGTAAAAATGTTCGCACAAAACAAAGATGACCGCAAGCGTGTTGAGAAAGCACTCGATATTTCTGGCTTTCCATCCGGCAAAGTGAGTTCTGTTCTAAGTCGTAAATATTGATTTTGAAAAGTTTTACTGTAAAATTTGTACATACATATATTCACTTATTACGACAATATTATTTCTTAGAATGACGTCGTGCCGTTGTTAAAATTTCAATTCGAAGATTTCTTCAACTTTTACAAGTCACTGACTCAGAGATCAGACGTGGAAAAAGTGTTTGAAGGAATTATTAGTAGACGTAAAATAATGTCTGTTTCGCAATTTGTGGACTTTTTGAACAAGTCGCAAAGAGATCCGCGCCTCAACGAGATATTGTATCCCTACGCAAATGAAGCAAGGGCAAAGGATATTATAAATCAGTACGAACCCAATAAATGTAATGCAAATAAAGGGCAACTGAGTTTTGACGGATTCTTGAGATATCTTATGAGTGAAGACAATCCGATTGTTGCTGTCTCTAAATTTGAATTGTCTGACGATATGGATCAACCGCTTCCGCATTACTTTATAAATTCTAGTCACAACACATATTTAACAGGTATACAAATGTTGTTATATTTAGTACATCACACTAATTTGAGTATTTATAAAACGTTTCTTCTATTAAGGACATCAACTTACTGGAAGAAGTTCTGTAGAAATTTATCGTCAATGTCTTCTATCTGGTTGTCGATGTGTTGAATTAGATTTTTGGAATGGAAAATTTGACGAACCTGTTATTGTACACGGGTATAAATATCATGACAATTATTTTGCTTTTACATAAAAAAGTATTTAATTGATAACTAAAAATGTAAATTTTTTTTAGATACACATTCGTACCTGAAATATGTGCTCGAGATGTGATAGAGGCAATTGCTGAGACTGCTTTTAAAACATCTGACTACCCAGTTATTCTCAGTTTTGAAAATCATTGCAATCCAAGGCAGCAAGCCAAAATCGCTCAGTACTGCAGAGACTTTTTCGGGGAAATGTTGCTTGATGCGCCACTCGAATCGCACAAGGTATTTTTAAATATTACGCTTAATGGAGAAATTAAATTAATTTTGCGCAAAAATTATGATTGTAATTGAATGGTATTTTTTATTTTTAGTTAGAGCCTGGTCAAGAACTTCCACCACCGGAGTTACTAAAGCGCAAAATAATAATAAAAAATAAAAAGAAGCATCACCATCATCATAAAAAGCATCAGAAAAAGCAGCAGCAAGCTTTAGATACTGTTGAAGGTACCACAGAGAATGAAACTAATGGAACGGCGAATCTATCTGCTGCAGGAGAAAACGGTCCTCCGCCGGATATTATACCTCAGAATGAAATGGATGATGTCGCACCTGAAAATGAGCAGCAAATTGGAAATGGCGATATTCCTCACCTGCCGATGTTGCAACAAAGACAGAGTAGTAAAGACAGTGGCCAGGATGATGAAGGTTGGTAATAGGAAATTGAAACTGCAAATATGTTGATGGAAGAGACACGCATATTCGATGAATTGATTTTTTATTTAGACGAAGAAGATGAATCGAGTACGGAAGACGATGAGTCTAATGTGGAAGATATAAAATTAAAAATCGGTGATAAAGGCGCACCAGATAAATCTGCAGCCAAAGAGACAGAGGCGGGCGCAGAAATTTCAGCTTTAGTTAATTATGTGCAACCCGTACACTTCAATAGTTTCGAATCGGCTGAAAGTGCGTAAAGTGTCTTAATACGAATATTATATGCATTCTTTTCATATTTTGAGAAAACGGTGAGTTTTTATGTCATCTATATTTGTAGAAAAAAAACGCATGTACGAAATGTCATCTTTTGATGAAAAACAAGCTACGACTCTCTTGAAAGAAAAACCACTAGAGTTTGTGAATTACAACAAACATCAACTATCTAGGGTTTATCCAGCAGGAACGAGATTTGATTCCAGTAATTTTATGCCACAAGTGTTTTGGAATGCGGGATGTCAATTGGTTGCGTTAAATTATCAAACACTCGGTAAATAAGAATTTTATTTAGTATATTATCTATCATTTATTGTTAAAGTAATCTTTTATTTACTGTTATCTATCATTTACTATTAAAGTAAACTTGATTTTATTTATAATAGACCTGTCAATGCAATTAAATCTGGGAATATTTGAGTATAATAAACGTTGCGGTTATCTATTAAAACCGGAATTTATGAGAAGGAAAGATCGACGGTTAGATCCCTTTGCTGAATCTACTGTTGATGGTATTATAGCAGGTACGGTTCATATCCACGTAATATCCGCACAATTTTTAACCGACAAAAGAGTAGGGACTTACGTGGAAGTCGACATGTACGGTCTACCAGCGGATACCGTAAGAAAGAAATTCCGTACAAAAATTGTACCAAATAATGGTATTAATCCTATATACGATGAAGAGCCGTTCGTATTTAAGAAGGTGAAATAATAATTCGTATAAATTTCTAATTGTAAGTTTTCTTATAAAATATTTTTTTTGTATAATGTGTTGTTTGCGCATTCTCAGGTAGTTTTGCCGGAACTTGCCTCGATAAGGATAGCAGCGTACGAAGAATCTGGACGTTTAATCGGTCACAGGGTACTTCCCGTAGTTGGATTATGCCCAGGATATAGACACGTAGCATTAAGAACAGAATGTGGGCAACCCCTACCATTAGCGAGTCTGTTTTTACACGTTATCGTAAAAGATTACGTTCCTGATGGTTTGAGCGAACTTGCTGAAGCTTTGGCGAATCCCATTAAATATCAGAGCGAAGTGGAGAAGAGAGAGAACCAATTATCGGTTCTTACAGATTCTTTGGAAGAACCGGAAGAAATCGAAGTATGATTTAAAATATTGTTAAACGATTTACTAATCTTTTTGCTTCCTAATAATTTGTTTTTTCCAAATTTATTAACATTACTAACATTACTAACATTTTATAGGATAAGAGTAAAGTTGGCGATACTCCTAGTACTGCTAAACCAGCTGTAAGTTTTTTACGTGCGATTTGATTCTCTTATGATACATTAGTAACAATGTTATTCTTGCAGGAGGAAGTTGTAAAAGCTAAACGATTACAATCCATAGGCGAATTGCCAAGTCTTTTACCAACTTCCAGTAGCTTACATAGTAGACCATCTATCGGTGGCTTAGGTAGTTCGGACACAGTGGATGTGGACGATGACACTCCTTGTCCTGCAGTTCAACCAGTCGATACGTCTATAAATAAAAGCCCAGTCAATGCTAGCAATAGTAAGTGTTTTTATTTTTTAGTTATTTTCACTAAAATCAATTTATCTTTCTTTTTTCACTTTGTTGTTGTTGGCAACTCATCTCTGTTATAGTAAGTGACGAAATAGTAGCCGAAAATTTGGAAAAACTCATGGAAAACAAGCTAGTCAAGGAGAAAAAGATGGAACTTGAGAAGAAACTTGAATCTCTGAGAAAAAAGCACGAGAAAGAAAAAATGCGGTTACAATCGCAGAAAGCCTCGATCGACGGGGAGAAGCATAGATCGAAATTTTATATGAGCAACAGGCTGGTAAAACGACTGTCGAGTAAAACTATGTAAGTATACGAAACAAGATGGCGGAAATTGCTACAATATTCAGTCGCATTATTTTTTAAGCAGTTTTTCGAGTGAAGTGGGTTTAAGCACTTTGACCATGCCTGAGACTTCCGAATGTCCGGAGGATACGGAAAATCGTGAGGGAATCGAAGGAACCAGAGGTTTACCTAGAAGTCAAAGTGAACGATTTTTAGCCGTATGCAAGGCGCATGTTCAACAAGAACGTGAATTACAGGAAAAATATTACGAGAATCTTTTTGCAACTGTCGAGAAAGTGATGAGAGCATCGCAATCCAATCAATTAAAAATGCTTCAAGTGCTTCTAGATAGAGAAACTGCAGATGTTAAACGAAAGCTGCAAGCTACGAGACAAGGCGAGGTACTTATCTATTACAATACTTTTTTACGAAATATATGAAATAACAAAAATGATCGTTGGATATATTTTATCGCTTTAGGTCAAACAATTAGCCAAGGTGCACAAAGACAAAGCCGAGTTGGAACGTATAAAACGAGAAGTTGCAAAATCGACTGTGGAGAAAGGTGTAAATGAATGTACACGCTTAACGAAAATTTATGACAAGAAGAGAGCAGAGTTGGAAAGACAGCATGAAGAAGTGCGGCAAAAACTGGAAGAGGAGCGAGCCAAGGTTTGTATTCTAACATGACGAATAATATATATTTTATTCGTGAAATCTTTTTATATATTCCAATGTGAACACAGGTGAAAGCTAACTTGCTGGCCGAGTATAGTAGCCGCTACAGCAAATACGAAAGTGGTGAGTTACCTCTGTCACCGTCTGGCGGAGCTAGTTTACCCGAATCACTTAGCGAGAATACATATTGACTCACGAAACGAGTCTAGCTATGTGTTAAATAAGGATACGACATTGATTCACGGATGTCTGTGTCTCGTGCCATTGTACGCATCGTCCAAAGCATTCAGTTATGTAATCTGGTGCACCAAACGCGAATCGCAATCCGAGTTCTGTAACGAAAGGTACGTGGAAAAAAAAGCAAGATATTACTTGGACGTAATATTTTCCCGACACTTGTACAAGAAAACGAATCAATAATGATTAAGAACGTTTGCACGTAGCGCTTATCTATAGTTGCTCGGCGATGATAAAACGTTCTTGCCACCGTTTCCCGCCGGGAATTTGCCACCGTATTGACGGTATTGTAACCAGAGATCACGTGATTTCAGGCAGCTCGGTGCTACATGAGGCATGACGAGTTAACGTCTTGACTATTATGTACGGTACAATTGTATATATGTATATATATATATATATATACATATACTGATCTTTTATCGTTTAATACTTCAAAAAAATTAAATGTCGAATAATGTGGATCGAAGTAATTTTCTATTACTTTAACGTTGTCTTTTACTACGATGATCATTATTCGACTGATAAGCATTGATCGTACATGTCGATCGATTCCTTAATCGATTATGCCTCACGTGAAAACGCCTATATCTTGATCTCTTTAATGATAAAACATCTGCTTAGTAAAAGAGAGAAAGAGACAATAGGTGCATTCGGGGAGATATTATTAGCACTATTTGTGTCATTCTATTCTTGTTTTATGTCTAATAAATAATGACGATAGAATAACAGAAGTAGCGCTAATAGTGTTTCTCCGAACATACCAAAAGTCAGATTTTAATGAGAAATATGAGTTTTGCATTACTTGCACATAGTATTAAGCAGTCTGAGAGATTCTGGGATCTATGATAGTCGCTGAGACAGTTGCGATTACATATTTGCATGATCTTAATGAAGCATTAAGATCATTTGCGAAAAATATGTGCGAGAGAGGTGTATATATATATATATATAAAACAACCTTCCTAAGTGCTAATTTAATATTGTTGTTATATGCATAAGGCATCGTTATTTAATCAACTACATAAACTGACTCAAATCTTGTTCCAAGATACTCCATTTAGATTGGTCTTCGACTATTAAAAGATCAGATCTCAGGAGATTCCAGTCAGAATAATGTAAGAAGTACACTGAGAGGATGAAATCTCTTTGGCCTAGAGGAGAAACATTGGAAAATGCTGAGAGAAGTCTACAACGCGCGTGATCTGATATATTTTTGACTGAAAGTACTCCATATAAAGTAAATTTTTTTTTTCCGAGGATGCCCATGCCGTGGAAATACTGACACTGTCGTGTTGGAGGCACGAGAATGTTCCAGTATTCTATTGTAGTCTATAGAGTCTTCGTATTCTGAACGATTACGGTTGGGCAAACCTCTTTGAGGAAGACAATCAAAAATGTTACGTCGTAACATTGTCCTTGTTGTTTCTAATTATATGATATTTTAGGCTATTCACTATGGTACGTGTATATAAGTATTTATGAGGGAGTTCTTCGTAGTAATAACGAATTTAGAATTAAAATTTATCCCGTCGTAAGTCTATCGTATAAATCTGTTATTTATTCAACGTGTTGATTTAGTAAAGGCAGAGGTATACGGGGTGAACCATATTCTGCTTGGCGATAATCGTATGAGAAACAATGATCAAATCAAATAGAGAAAGAAGAAACTTTTATGGAGATAATATATTTAATAATGTTACATCTATATACTTAAGTAAAACACACGGTTACTTTGTCGTTGCAATTTCTATTATTTATATTTTACGTTTCGAGGAATTGCGTTTCTTTATATCAGTCTAAAGACTGAATTAGTTTTTTGAATTTTTGATAAACTTATTTTTGTTGATAAATATTTGGCAATTAGGCACAAAATTATCGTTAAATTGTGTTTGCGATTTAGTTGCACAAGTGTACTGTATAAGCGATCTCAAGGCATTTAGTATTTTTGAAATTAAAATTTTTTTCTTTACGCTTTATAATTATGAATTTAAGTACATTCCTTCGTTGCATGTACTTACATCGAAAGAGCCATAATTTGATCTGATCAATTACATGTATTATAGTTTTCGAATAAGAGTATATTCATAGATATGAAAGTATAACTATTTGAACAAACTTGAACGAATCTCAATACGAATTATATCGATACATTTTACATTGAGCTTCTTAAAAAATATGTTTATCTTAATTATATATATTTTTGTTTAATTTTTTCTTTTTTTATACCTGTATTGTTTTACAATTTTGTCGAGCTTATATCAATTTTGTTGATTTCTATTTTTGCGTTTTTAATATTTTGAAATTACGTAATTTTGATGTAATGCTGGAAAATATGATATTATTTGTATAAACTTAAACAAAATTTTATAAATATATTATATAATTTATAGATTATATATTTATATATAAAAATATCACTTTTATGTTAAATATCACTTTTATAATTGTACCATCGCGTGCAATAATAGCATTTTATTATCATTTTATTATGTAATTCTGCTCTTTTTTGTACATTATTTTTTGCAAGCGTTGTCGAGAGTGAAGGAAAAAATATTGAATAAACTATTCGCGGTTATCGAGTTTTAACAAGCAGAAAAAAACTGAAAGAGCAATTAAGACATACGCATTTATTATTGCAAGCGATAGTGCATCTATAAACTTAAGAATTTTTTTAATTATATCCCGTGCACCTCTCTCAGATTTAATATTTCATTTGTAATAGATATAAAAAGTACAGCATTTAATTTATCTTTGAACAATTGCTATAGCGTCCTTTACAGGAAGGAAAGAGAGAAAGGGAGGGACGAGGGGAGAGAAAAAGAGACAAAGTGTAAAAGGGAGGGGGAATAGCTGATATTTTATACTTTATCTCTAAAAAATACGCAGAGTTACCATTTTTTAGTCAACTAATTATCACGATAGTATTTTTTTTTCATAAACGAAGTTACTAATTGTTCATGAGGTTGTAGCAGACGCGACTGACTTTATTCGAGTATGGTAGATAGGTTTAAGAATAATGCGAACGATATTTAATGCAATGTATGTTTAATTCTATTTGGTACGCTCGGAATATACGCGAACAGATCAATATGCGTGGACATAAAAGTTTTTGCGAAATTGGACGAATGCCACGTTGGGTGAAATACGTATCTTCTGCGGCATTTTGAGGTGGTGTAACAGAAGAAATCGATTAAGTGCGTAATATACGATGCATAAATTCTACAATACACTGTATTTCTATCGTCGCATATTAATATTTTTTATCCAGTGTGCTAATATTTATTTTGAAATGTTTTTTTATCCCGAATCTTGTTAGTTATAGTTTATATGTTATACGTTCGTAAATTTTTCGATGTTTCGCCTCTCTGTAACGAAGCAGATTTTAATATGAGCTTTACTTGCGTTATTGTTTTCGAGTTTGCGATATTAATATATATGTATATAGAGATAATTGATTTTTCTCTCATGTCGGTTACGGCATTGAAACGATCATTTTGGATATATTTTCGTTAATTAAACTATACTCAGTCATATAGTTGATGACGATATTGAGATAATTGAGATATAAGCGATAAGAGTGAACAAATAGAATGCGTATTTCCAATTATATTAGGTTTCTCTTATATTAGGTTTCCAATGATATTTATTCAAGTTTTAGCTTTGTTATCTCCGTCAATTGAGGAGTTGGAAATCATATTGCTATTCTTTATACAATTATATATTGCATCTGAATATTATTATACTTATATCAGAATATTGTGACTGTAGATTATTTGTCGCTTTGTTTTTCCAATTGTATAAGTTTTAAGTACATTTTTCCAAAGCTATTTACGCTGCATCCAATTCCTCGATTACAGTCACTTTGCGTGTGATTTACCTGTGCATTTATGTCCTACGACTAGATCAGATCAAATCGCTGTATGTAATCTTATCGGAGATCTTTTCCCACGTATTGTATGTGGATGAATATCATACATACTTACTTGGGACATGATCGGTGTAGTTTTTCTTCCTACATTCGTGTAACGTACATATGTACACGTGTACGTTACACACAGTTGCGTGTATACATGAGATAAGTTTAGATCTAACGGAATATATAGATATAATATATACATATATATTCACGTTGATATTATATGTGTTGTTGTTGTTGATGTTGTTAATCGTAGGATAGTCATAAAAAGAAAAATTGTAGCGCTAGTATATAATCGTTGTTAATATAAGAACTACAGGAAACAAGAAAATAAGAATTCTCTACGCTACGACGAACACGTTCGCGGATTGTTAATCGCAACGTCAATTGATGCGTGCGTCACAATGTTATTAATTTGTACCTTATCGATCTTATATCTTGAGTCTTGACCGCTTTGACGTTAGTTTTTTTCTTGAACATTGCTTTTCCGTTTTTAATGAAGGATCCCTGATTCGAGGATCGCTTTCACTCTCTCTCTAGAATCTCTTTATCGATGCTTAACGCCAAGGTGGTCGACTCTAGTGCCGGTGTCTTTCGGAAGTACCGACTACACTTAAGATTTGCCAAATAGATATTTATAGAAACGCGTCGAGCTGCGTCGCGAACGGCCGTAACGGACGTGTCTGTCGTTGTAGAGTAACCGCGAAGTTCGCAGGTGTATATTTATAAGGTATGCGTAGTTTGAAACGGCCTACAAACGATTGTAGTGACTTGGCTCAGCTTATTGTACCGTTCCGTTCTGTCAAGAAGATATTGCACTAGCTGCTTTAGTCCCGATTTCAAATTGGAGCGTCTAAACGTCCGCCGCTGTCGATAAACTAAGCGTTAGATCATTACCCGCATCAAGTTCATCGGTGATCTTTTGCCTACTTTTATCCGTGTTTATCGTGTCCCTCCGTCACGTCAATCCCTCGTGCTCACCACGTGTAATAAGGATCTCCTTGACAACGATTCTTTGTACCTGACCGTACTATTGTCCTCGACATTGCGTCCCTCTTCGATCTATTCGTGTCGAAGACAGCGAAAAAAAAAATCTTTTGACGGATATATATCTATGAAGAAAGCATATATATGCATACATATATATATATATATATATTCATATATATAATTTCTTTATTTCAAATGTTCGCAAGAGACATAATATTCTGGCGGTCACTTAGGCTGCACCGATATTACGAAGAAATTAGAATTCTACCGCTGCATAGCCGCCGCCGCATTTTTGAATCGTCTATCAGTTTTAACAGCGACGCTATCATCAGTTCTCAATCTACAATGAAGTAGAGTAAACTCAATGTATGTATAAATATGATGCAACGACGATATTCTACAGAAAGCCTGCGTTATTAGTCTGAGTTGACGATGAACTCCGCATCCCGAGGAATCTCGCCTTACAACGCTGCACATTTACCTGTACTTTTAGCGATCGATAGCGTCTTGATTTGTAGGAAGCAAACGTATTACTTTAAAAATAAAAAAAAATGCATTGAAGCGCGAATCTTACGTTCAACGATCCCGTATCCGCTTCACGATCGAGAACATTGTAACGTAGCATCGTAGGGTGCTCGTTTGATTGTAACGCTTGTTCGTGATAAAAGAAAAAGAGAAAGAAAAAAGGAAAGAAGGCGGCGAGAAAAAAAGAGGAGAAGCGCGAAGAGAGCGGGAAAAGAGCAAACTCGTCGATGATTGTGACGCGGTAGCGATCGATAACGCGACGCCTGATGGCGTTGCACCTCGTGGCGGAATACGGTATGTACAGACGTATACGTTATCTACTTTGTACTGAGAATAGTCGCGTCCCGTACAAAATGATTTGTCAAATAATTGTCTTCCCTCCTTAACTTGTAGCGAATCCGGTTGAACGCACTTATAGTCCGTACTGGTACATATTAAAGTCAATTGTATACTTATTAATGTATCGATCATAACTTTTTAACTCTGGAGTGAAAACGTGAAAAGTTGAAACTTTTTAGGTATTTGTGCATATACATATATAGTCACTTACATACAACAAATTTTCAATTTTCGCGTTTCCGTCTTAGGGAAAAAAAGTTTCATGATTGACCTTTTGAGAATAAAAGCGAAATGCAAATATTTCGAATTATATTATAATATAAAACTTCACTTAACAAAACAATGAAATATATTGAGAATATGGAAGCAATAATACGTAAAGCTCAGTTGATAGAAATCAAATGTATAATGCCTTGTTGAGCCAACCACTGGTTGTATGGAATTGATTTATTATATTATTAAATACACATATGTTTCGACCCACGCTTTAGATCTTTTCCAATATACAGTATTATCTGAAATCCGTCTAAATATCACTTTGATTATGTCATTATACTTCCTGGTAACAATGATAATCAATGACCTAATGAACCTAATCAAAGATATTTGGACGAATTTCAGATAGCACTGTATATTGGAAAGGATCCGAAGTGTGGATTATAATGTACGAACATTTAATAATATAATAAATCCATTTCACACGCACAATCAGTAGCTGGGACAGGAATTATACATTCAACAAGGAATTATACATTTTTATTGAAATATATTGAGGATTTTATATTTATATTAAATAATACTTACATTAAATAAATATATATATTAAATTTAATTATATTTATATTAAATTTACATTAACTCGTTCCAGTATTTATATCAAACACATAAACTTAACATCAATTTGCGCACGCCGTAATATCTTAATATGCATCAGTGCGTGCTGAGTGCGTTCAATCGAATTCGCTATTAGTCGCGGCAGCACGAACGACGTGCCGCGCCGAATCTCGTTATACTTACAATTAGCGTTGGCCGTTCGACGCTGACCACATGCTCGTGTTCGATCGTCTCGTCCAAGTCGATCCATTATCGTTATCGTTTTATTATCGTAATATGTTTCGTGATTTTTATGTATTTTCCGGTTATGTAACCTCTCGTTCTTTAATCGACGATTAGTTCGACTCGTCGGTCCGTATTCTTCCGTTTTTGTAAGCGACGAGAGATTATAACGATTTGTTGTGTTTACAAATTTGTTTTGATTTCGCATTTTGTCTCCTGTATTTTTCCCGCTCCTCTTTCTCCATTTATGATTAATTTAACTTGATTAATTTCAGTTGAATAGATATTGATCGGAGTATCGTGCATTTATAATAGTATCGATGCAGGTTTTTAAACGTTAATTGGATGTGAGATTATGTAGTGCTTATTATATATAAGAAATAAACCAGAACGAATATGTTGCGATAACATTAGAACCGTGACCAATTTTTAATCTATTTGATTTTTAATCTAGTTTTTCTTTTACAGTTCAATGAATTGAATTTGCACGTAGAGTTTTAGATTTTTGTGATTTTTCATAAATAATCACATTTAATTACAAGTAATTAATTTTACTTTTATGGTGACAATCCTATCTCGTAGAGAATGCCAAATTTAATGATTTGAACCGTGATTGGGTTAATTTAGATCCGCGGTTCTGCTGTTAAACATAATAGGGCAGCATGATTTGATATGCATAATGATGATCGATTTCTAGCAACTACTGAATTATTACTATTGAATTACTATTGTGTTACTTTTTAATTTCTCATGCTTCCTGTCTATTTATTTCATTTATGATAATTAAGTTTAAAATCCTGTAATTTTTATCGCGCGTGTCGCATTTTGATTACGTGCATTTCATCCATGCTAAATCCAACGACGAACATCCCACTATGAAAGTACCTAAGCAGCAACGGTCTTAAATGCGTAATTAATGTATTCTATTCGCGTTCTCTCTACCGCTATCAAGCGATAAATGAGAATTTATAGTAAGCGTGATTCTCGAGCGACATGGCGCGTATTTAGTCGGCATGTATCGGATATGCGCGACGAAAGAATCGAAAGGAAACGCTACCGAGAATTAAAGCTATACGTAATTTCGGCTATGCTTTCTTGCCACGTAGCGATTTTTTACGCGGTGATTAATGAAGCATCGATGTGATGAAGCTCCGTGAAGGAATCAAATCTTGAACGGAGATCTGATTTCTATAGGTACTTGCAGATTTTGTTCGCAGATTGTTAAGGAATTGCAGATATCATCGTTCTATAGATTTTACAAATTCTTTAGAAAAAAGATTTTTATAGATTTTTCCCTGCTGGATCTTTTTGTGATTTTTTTTTCCTATACGACTTTATAAATTATTAATCCTAATTTATGAACGAATTATTGATTCTTTGTAACTCTTGATTTTATCTAAATATTTTGCTTTATAAAAAAAGCTGATATTTTTCAAGATGATAGATCTTTTTCTTTAACGTTTATGAATTCGTGACTTTTCTCATTTATAAAGTTTCAAACTTACGATTCAATTCTCATTCAATGTGTCTATTTTTGTAAAATACGTAGATCTTGTGATATTTTACAATATACTTTTACGTTACGCGTTTTTCAAATTATTCTTTTCAAACGGGCATCTCTATTGCTTCAATCCGATGTTTTCGGATTACGAATGGTCTAAAAAAAATGAATTATTAATCGCTTCACGCTGAGAGGTAAACATGCGCAAAAAAATGTGGAAGTATCGATAGAAATAAGATATTTGTCCCGCTATTAGCAATAGTTGTCGATTACTTATGTCAGTGTCTGATTATATAATATAATATACATCATATGTGTGCGTGTGTGTATGTGTATATCTCGCGATGTATCGATTTTAATCGATAAACCTCGCGATGCTAGAATGCGTAAAGGGTCATACAAAATAATTTCTCCTCTCTCTGACTCACTTGTGCCTTGCCCTCGATCATCCTTCGCTGTTCTCATCCAGGTATAATCCCTCTTTTCTATAAATAATCGTATTTGATGTTCGATGTCCTTTCTACGAAATAAGAAACTACCAATTAAGCGATTGATACATTAAGAAAACGTTACTTATTCACTCCGTTTTATCATTTAGCTCATAATCGATAACAGTATGTTTCAGTAATATCGTCCCAAACGATTTAGACATTCTAAGGCATCTTAAGATATCTTAAGACAGCTAATAACTAATAATTAAACTAATTGCAAGGCATTCGGATTACAGACGCTCGAAAATCTCGCTCTCGAAACGCACGTTTCAGGCATTTTAGACGATCTAATATATATAAAATATTTGGAATTTATATAATTTTCCAGTTACAGCTTTTCCTCCGTAAACCGAAATAAAATATACGTATTTAACACGTATTCGTAAAATCTGCTCTTTGGAGTTATGATATTATCTTCCGTAAAGTTAAATATGGAAATTTAAATGCCATGGAAGGCTAAATCGGTGAGATTTGAGAGCAGATTGACACTCATAAGAGAGATCCGATGCTTTACGACTCTCGCAATTATTATATGTATAAAGTATACTGCTCGAACTCGAGAGCGCGTTTGTTACGTATTATATGCTAATCAGGAATCACAGCGGATCGTGGAAAGTTACTGCTGTGACAGGTAATGTCCTCGTTCGTAATGTAGGAAATAGGCGGGTATTTGCGGAAGGTCTCGATAACTAGAATATACTGAGAGATAAAAAAAAAAAGTCTTCGCGCGTTATCGATTACGTTCACAGGAGCGTAAGACGGAATATACGTTACACGCGGCGGGTGTTTAAAATACATCTTCTGTTGCGATTAACTACGGCGTTGTTAAAACACTCGATTTGAATATCGAGGTGCAACAAATTCATGCTTTCAGCCGAGGAATCCTCTATCCGCGCCGTGTTGATTTCACAGCGAGATTATGTCTCCGAACTTGCTTTGCACGGTGATTTATGAATTATGCGGTGAGAGTCAAGGGGAGGTCAGTTGCAACGTAAATAACTGAAAAATAGCTTGTAAATGAATGCGGAGAAATTTCGAATAGAGGATATTTCGTGGCACACACAATGGTTTGGACCGCTTCCATCCTGAAATGCGCTGCCGCTCGAAATACGACTATTTGCACTCTTTAGAACAACTGTCGAAGAGAAACCTTTGTAATTGTACGGAAATAATCGTGCGATTAATTATCGTTATATACGTTATGAGGAATTAGTATGAGCTTGTACGTATGACCTTTTGCTAGTCGTATTTTCTAAGAGGCGCGCACTGGGTGTCAACAAACACGATCGATGTCGGTTTTAAGACTATTTGTAAGCCTGGATGTGTATTTTTTAGAACAAAGTTAGAAGTATTATTACCCGCTATACGAATATCGATACCGAAACGCCCATTCTTGTATCCGTACGATATGATCCATAAATTATAATAACGATATTCTATAAATGGCTGTACTATTGTAAAATCAAAGATATAGCGTACAATATACACATAAAATTTAGTGTGTAGGAGGCATAAGCTGTTGAAAGTGATATGTATTTGTTCTTTCCTCCTTTTGTCACTTTTACATGTTTCGTAAAAACGTAAATTTTTGTTTAAGGTGATATTGATGGAATATAACTATATCGAGTAACAGGTTTTAAATTAATTAGTATTCTTTATTTGATTTATCAAATGTTACATCATTATTTTGTCACGGTCAGAATAATAAATATAATTAAGTTAAAGGATTCTTAAAGATCAACAAAAATATTAGGAAAATAGAAGGGCAAATAGAATCAATTTTAAAACCTCGATATATGTAATAATCGTTTAAAGATATTACATTCTTAGAAATTACTATAAAATATAAATCTAATTATAATAATAATAATACATTATTTTACATAATGATTGAATTTTATTTGAATGATTAAAATTTATTGTTTTTAATCTTCCGTCACTTATTATCTAAAAATAATCTAAAAATATACACATTTTGTAAATAATTTAAAAATGTTCAAATAGCCGATGGCGGTTTTTGTACGTACGCTATTAATAGATAATATCGCAATATTAAGTATTCTTGGCTGTTTTTGCTTTTGCTTTTAAGCGGAATTAGAGCATTTTGGTTCATGATTTCGTTTAGCAAATTGTCTATAAATTCGCTTTTCATATCATCGGGGAGTCGCTTGATGAAAGGATTAACAGCGCATACGTGATCTGCAAAAATACAAATATGTATTTTATTTTATATAAACAAAGAGACAAAAATTCTTATTTAGTTGCGACGGTTAATTTTTGTTCTAATGCTTTAATTTATTCTTATACGTGTAGACAGATAATAATTTGTCTTGTTATTCAGTATCTTACTTTTGAGGCTTTGTTTGCTGTAGTGATAACTTTTTTCCCTTTTGCTACAGTGCAGAATTTCAAAGCCGACGTCCTCAAGCATTTTTCGTAGACTCGCTCTGACATCTTTACACATTCTTCGTTGGAAGTACGGTACATAACGGCATGCATCCTTAAAGAAGAGAAGGCATTTGAATTTAATATTAATATTATCATTAAATGTGTTTTATTTATTTTAATTATTAAATACCTGAAGATATGATTGATATCGTGGATACTGCTTGAGTTGTAGGTATGCCTCGAATCCAGAATGATGTCCAAGAAACATCACAAGCGCTTTTCCATTTGGTCGCAGTAACTTATACATATTTTGTAAAGCGCGCCTGAAAATTTAGCAACTTAATTTTAAAAAATCAAAATATTTTCTTAATGTTGATTAGCACTCATTAATATAACATATATAAATATTCTCGCATAATTTTCTTTTAAGTAATAACAAAATTAATTATAGAAATTGTTTTATTTACAAAAGTTTTTTTTCTTTAAATATTACCCAAAAAAAAGTAATTAAAATACCATATATCGTCACACCAATGGAGACAATAGAAAGACACGACATTGTCATATTGCTCGACTTGGTCACTTGGCAATTCCGATGTTTCGATGTCCAGAATAACGAAAGATAATCGTTTTTCATCACTATATTTCTGACTGGCATAATTCACCATCGCTTCGGATATATCAACGCCTACGAGATGATTCTATGTTAAAAGAAACCGCATACCGCCAAATTTTTATTTTCTTACCTACTATCTCTGCATCGTGTGGCAAGATCGGAAGTAACAGCTCCTTGGTAATGTTCCCTGGGCCTGAACCGATATCTAAACATTTTCCTCGCATGTTTGATAGTTCACAATTAAATTCATCTATGACGTCCTGAGCGTCACGACGTTGCATGTTACTTCCGCTGCTAATATAGTCTTCGACTGTTTCCATGATTTGCGATGTAATCTTCAGTTCGTACACCCTCTGTTACAACGTTCCAACGTTAAAACATACTGAATATTTTTGTATTTGTACGATTCTTATATAAACGATCTGGTATCATACTCTTTAACCATGTTTGGGCTCGCGACCCTCAGGTTATGAGGAGTCGACATGAGAGAGAGAGAAAGAGAGAGAGATCACACTATTTACAAAGAAATTGTCAAGAATATTTGTCTCTCTCAATTTAAAACGCACGAAGAAACAGAATATGTGATTATTATATATGACGCATTGAAGTCTTTTATTATAAGTTTTCCTAAAAAATTATAGAATGAGAAATCTTTTAAATCTTAAAATACTTTAAATTTTATATACATAAAGGATTCTAAAAAAGATGTATAAACTTTTTGGACACTTTTAAAAAGTGTTTCTAGAAAAATTTTCTAGAAGTTACAAAATTATTCAGAAATTTCGAAAAATTTTTGAAAATTCTAAGAAAAATTTTCACCAAGTTTGAGATATTATTTACAAATCGATGCTAAAAAATCTTTGCTTATATCGATTCGGAGGCATATAAAAAAAAAAAAGGAAATGTAATTATTACGTATGCATAAGCACATGCAACTACACTAATGCTAATATTTGATCTTACGACGTACGTCCTCTTGCTCCGTTAGAAGTAATTCAAGGCTGATATATGTGCAATAGCTCACAATACTGGGTCCGCTCCTCTACTGGTGACTTTTTAACTTCGTCTTTGGTATTTATATTCGGCGACTCGTACAAATGACTTGCTCTTCCACTGTTCTCCCATTTTCTCCCATTCTCGTCTCCCTACCAACCTATCCTATTCTTTGTCGTCTACTGTACCTACCCCAACATCCAAATTCTTTTTGGGGCCACGCTACTATTATTATTTCACTTAAAGGAAATTGAATTATCTAAATGGCCGGATACACACAGATTGTATACACAGACTGTTTGTATCCGGTCATTTAGTCGTGGTCTACTGCGTTGCATAGGTCACACTTGATATTAGATAATATTAATAAATGGATGCCAAAAAGGGAATGAGGATGCACTGAAAAAAATAACTTATTAAAAATAGAAGAAAAAAATTTTATTAAATAATATAAGAAAAAAGGCTCAAATAATTTGTAAAATTAAAAATAAATAGGGCTACGAGCCAAGCTAGGTCTTAATGCTGTGTTAATTAAAAAAACAAAAGTTTATTACAACAAACACGTTTCGAGATATGTAAAACGTGTAAAAACAAATGCTCCATTATTCAGAAAAGAACTTGACATTGTAAAAACATTATGCCACTCGGTAGCTACCGTTAATGGTAACCGTTGATGACCACCAAGCGGCGTAATGTTTTTACAATGTCAAATTCTTTTTCGAATAATGGAGCATTTATTTTTACACATTTTACATATTTAAGAAGGTTCACAATCACATATAACTTTTGTAGGATATACACAATGAGGATTATATAATATTACAATTACTGTCCTAATCATATTATATGTTTCGTTATGTTATTGCCGTTTAAATGAGTATTAATTCAAATTGTATCTAGTATAACATTGAGAATGGCCCAATTGGAGTCGAAATGTTTGTTGTAATAAGCTTTTGTTGTTTTAATTAACACAGCATTAAAATCTAGCTTGGCTCGTAGCTCTACATTTATTTTTAAAATTTTATTACTTCAATTTGTATGCTAAGAAGAAACAATTTCTTTACAATTTCTCTTAAACAAACATATTTATCCGCCCTTCAATTTATTAAAAATATAATTCATAATAATAGCTAGATTGAGAAATAAATATTTATTAAAATTTGTAAAATATAATAGAAAGCCAAAAAAAGCATCTATACAATCATCTAATAATCAATGTAGAGTATAGAACAAGAAACATATGACACGAATTTAAGCAGAATTTAGGATCATGTTATATTTTAGGGTATAAGACTTTTAGAACAGAAGAAATCTATTAGTTATTTTTAGATTTGCAGCTGCTGAGCTCTCTATCTCCGATTCTTTAAAAGAACTTCTTCCAACATCTTGCGAACAGTATCATTTTCATTAAACTTCTGCACGCTATTACCGAAGTTATTATACATTCTAGTGCGAAGAACATACTTAAAATCTTCTCTTCTGTGTGCACAAACGATCCTTTCTTGTTTCTGCTTTCGCTTGATTTGTATTTTTTGTTACGCCGTTTACGCTTAATTAGTCAACCTTTAACGAAGTCAGAAGTGCGGCGTAAGTTTAAATCTAATATAAAGTGCATGCGGCAAAGAGGCGTCGGGAAGAGTGTGAAAGGACGAATTTTACCATGCTCGACGAAAGAGCTTATCGCTAATAATCCGTGGTTCGATCGGGACCGCGAGAGTCCTTTCTGATATCCCCAACAATCCTGGAGCCCTTGAACCGGTCTTATCTTACGGTAACATGTATTTGCCTTTTGGACAACGCCGTGTATTTGCATATGCACGAGCACACTCCATACACGCTCATGAATAATGTGCACGGTGTGTTCCTAATCAAACACTCGTATTTCACTGCGAAGGATTCTTCGCTTTTTTTCTTATCCGAATGGCCCTTAAATTGTACTTTAAATTATACACTCGACTATCAAAAGAGCTTTATTTGGCCGCATATCAGATTACCTGCTCTATCTCACTTACAGAATCGACGATACAATTTCAATTAAGACTTCTACATGTTCTGTCAATTATTTTTCTGTCAATCAACCATTTCTATTAATGTACAGATTAGCTTTAATCTTGGCATGTATAATCCAAAGACCATATCAAGTTAAGAGAAAGTCAAAATGATTTTTTTTTTTACATTATTATAATACAACAAAAGTTAAAATGATGATTTTTTTTGTTACAAAATTAAACTGCTTATTAACTTTAAGAATCAAAATAAAGTCATTTTTTCGTGTGTTCTTTGAGAATTTGCTTTTATTCTTTTTTCTAATTGCCGATCAGAATTTAAAAAAGTAATATAAATAATAAGATAAAAGAAAATTAAAGTTAAAATCATCGATAGAAATTATTGATAGAAATGAACATCGATTTCTGTATATATTATATCGACTATCTTGCATACTTTACAAAATTTCCCTAACAATTGACACAATAAGACGTAACGCATTTCAAGTCTCGTTACATTGCGTAACGTTACGTCCCGTATATACTTCAGCTACCATAAATTAGTTTGGCGACGCCTGTACAGAAAATATTTATGAAACTCGGCGGGTTGACCCGCTCTTCTCTGACGCCATGGTTCTCCCTCTCCTTCTCTCTCGTTTCCCTTCGTTGTCTATCTCCATTTTCCTTGCGCTCTGCGCAAGGTAATGCAATATTCACTCGCGTCTCTTTCAAAGGAGATAACAAAAGGTCGCGTAGCGTTCGCTCTCGCGTTCACGCATCACCATCCGGAGTTTATAGAAGCTCGGAAGCAGAAGACCTGCAAGAAAACGGAGTGGGAGATAGAAAGATACGTTTCTTACGTTGAGTCCAGCCGGAACCAACAGTCCGCTGTCACAATCACGTGTCATTTTCATCGCGCTCGATCAGATTAGCTGCCACCTACGCACTACCTCCTTGCTGTAAATTTTTTTAACGACGACCAAGTTGATGGCGCTTGCCTTTTTATAATAGAGTGAAATTACGTCGCTTTCTTTTACTACCTGTTGTCTTCGGCTCCTCCTCGAGTTGCTCGATCGCTGCATAATAACATAATCAAAGAGAACCTCTAGAAAAATAGCAGAATAACACGATAAAATGCATGAAGGGTTGAATCAACTCGCTTATTGTTGCAATTTAATTGAACGTGTATATCTCCATGAGTATAAATTTCGCGAGTGCAACGCATTTCTAATGCCTCCGAAATCTGATAGTGAATTCGATTGAACGCATTAGTGCGCACTGGTGCATATTAATGCCATTATACACTGATTTAATCTAAGGATAAAAGTGAAATGCAATATTTCGAATTATAAAATACATATTTTACTTAACAGCACCATAAAATGTATTGGATTTCATGATTTAATCCGTTTTTAATTGTATTTATATTAAACACACGTCTTTTACCGCAATTTGTGTAAACGACGGCTTTAATATGCACCAGTGCGCATTGGGTAAACCCAATCGAATTTGATATTAGCTCGCAAGATTTCACGACGGCGAGTATGTTCCCCGGAAATGGAAGAGCGATCTGGCAGGCGTAATCGCGCGCGCGTTGTAGGTCATCGAGTTGGCAGAGGATTTACCGTAGCGTCGTTGGTCTCCTCCGCTCGTGCTGGCGCTAAAACCACAAGCATCCGATACTCGATCGAGCTCTTGCGAAAGGTAACGGGGGTGGCGGAGAACAGAGAGGAAGTGAAGCTCTCCTCGGGAAAAGGTTGCGTGCGAGGACGTGGCCGGGCAAAAATTGCCCGAGCCAACGTTGGGAACTGCAGCGCACGGCCGTCGAATTTTTTCAGGATTAATGCTTTGGTCTTAATTACCATGTTCGCAGCTACGTCGTACCTTCCAATACGTCCGTCTGTATTTTTGCCATTATTCGTCATAGCCGAAAGATCTGGCACGCCACGGACGTGAGCGCTAGAAAAAGAATGGGTAAAAAGCGCGATTGTCGATGGACGCAAGTCGCTTCTATTTCGCGGCTGTTCTTTCTTGTTAAACTGTATTACTAATAACGACGGAACGAGAGAATCGAGGAGAACGGGAGAATCGAGTCATAAGTGAAAATATTTTTCTTTTTCTTGTACTTTAGAGGAAGTGTCATGCTAGATTCGCGAAGTTAGCTCCCTATATTTTCAGTCTCGATTTTTTAATATGGAAAGTGTGACTGGAACTGTCATTATTTCTTTCATATTAATAGAATGTCTAAATTTCATGGATATCTAAAAATAAAATCCGTGTAGGTAGCACATTTTATTAAAATAAAAAAAAAAAATAACTGTTCTGGTAGCACTTTTCATAGTTCTATAGTTTCTTATAAAAGTAAAAAAGAGTTCCGCATTTTTATACTAAAAAAACAAAATTGAAAAAATAACAGACGAACTCTGTTTTAAAAATAATTGTAGAATACAGAATTCTGTTAAAAGAATTAACAAGAAATCGCTGAAATTGCGACAAATTAACGATACGACATATTTTTTCAAGTATCGTGATGTCTTATGCATTTAAAGTCTATTAAATTTGGTAATTGTTGAAATTTTGTCTTTAAATTACATATATTGATACAACTCAAGTACTAATTGGATATTTAAAGCCCATTCTATTCTAATTGCGTAGTATAGTTGTAAGTGTATTAATAAAAATTGATCAATCACAACCGAATATTCTCTTCATAGTCGGCTGTAAGTGGTCAATTCTTACAACTATTTACAACTCACTTATAGAAAGGCTTATTATAGAATGGCTTTTAGGTCTCGATCCGGTACTGCCGGATGTGGTCCGAGGAAGGGCACGTCTCTCCCTTCCGCTCACCACCACCCTTTTCCTTTTCCATCTCCGTCTAGTCTCTTTGCCTAAATCCTTCGGCCAGATCCGCGTGTATCAGGTGGGTGGGGTAGGGCCGAGAACGAAGGGCTTTGATAAATGACTGACGCGGAAAAAAAATCCGCGTCGATACGTCTTGCTCAAGGAGATGCGCGCGTGAGTGAAAAAGAGAGGGACTGAGGGAGAGAAAGAGAGAGAGACGACGTCGAGGGAAGAGAAAAGGGAGAGAAAAAGGGACGACGAGGGCGAGAAAAAGCCGTCGATTCGTTCCCGCGGTCCACCGAGATGTAGCTATCCTATATATCTCGTGCGCGATCTGCATTCCCTTCGCGCGCTCGTTTATTAAAACCAGTCGAACAGCGCGCCGCGAAATTTGCAGATCGATCCGCGTAGA